AATATACTTTTTCATATTCAGTATTTATTAGGAATCTGATAGTATTGTAATTTATTATGAAATTTTCAGAGAACTGGATGATGAAGATGAGATGCTTTACGGAAACACAGATTCCTCTGTCTTTGATCCACCTAAGACATTTGATCCCTTAGCCCAACAGGAGAAAAATCAGAACACTTGGTGAGAGTTATTTGCTTTGAAATGTTCAGTTTTGTAAGATTTATCACAAGAAAAATATTTTTGGGAATTAGAGAGCATTAATTATTGTAAACTCCTTTTAGCAGTCACTGTCATTTTTTTTTCCTCTTGTTCTGTTGCCACTAATGTAGGTGTATTTTGAGTGACTAATACAATGAAAACATTTCCCCTTACACTCAAATAGGAGGCTCCATAGACATTAGTGATGAGTGTGCTATAATGCAGGCCCTAGGATCTTGTGTGTTTTTTTAGTTTAGGTGTTCATTTCTGTTTTCCTGTGTTTTTTAAGGGTTATAATTCATGTCATATATCCTTGTACCTTTAGTGTTTGTTTCCAGTGCATATCACAAATGTATGTGAGGCCACTTATATCCTATAACCCATTATATATAGACAAAAAGTTGCTAGGGGATGAAATGAGATGAATGTGACATATTTTTAAGCTGGACACATCAAGAGGTTAGGCACAGATTTATACTTATGATAAATATGGAAATAGCGCCATACTTCTGTTCTGCTTCTCTGTCATACTAGATTAATTTATATATCTATTTATTTATTTTTTGAAGTCTGATATTAGATTTCAAAACCTGTAAGAGGCAAGAATGATCTATATATCTGTTGATATTGTTTGACAAGATATTGTATAAACTATTTTCATCACCATTTATAGAATTTTTAAATGCATTTTGTAAATATTGCATTTGAAGCTAATTCATATCAAATAATTTTAGGTGGAAGAAATGGCAGAAGGAAGTTCGTCCTACTTACTGGCTAGTTGGAGTGAGAGACAACGGCAACTTGGAAATATACACACTGCCAGACTTCAAGCTTTCGTATGTTGTCAGAAATTTCTGGGTTGGTAAGTGTCACTTGTGTATTTTGTTATGACTAGGTTTTTCATGTGTTTGTCTATGAAATACTAAAGTTAGAGGAAACTTGATTTGGTATACATATCTGGTGATTAAAGAGCAAATGTCACCTGTGCTGTAAAAGATGGTAATATTAATTATACGCAGGGTTGTGAATATTTTTGATATTCTTATTCATGACTATTTAATTGACAATGGAAATTGAGTTTAGATTAGTTTTACCCATTGCTGGCTGGAACGTGTTATGTCCACTGTAGTTTTATTTTTTTTGATTGTCTTTACACATATTTTGCTCCAGAAGTGCTCAGCCACTAATGGGTAAATTAGTAGGTCTATGTCTATTTTTTTTTTTTCTAATGCTGTTGATATTGATACTGTCATTATTATTACATATATTTTGATTATTATAATGTTATTAACCCACTCGATCCACGTGACATGATCATCATGTCTGGGAAAAATTTGGCAGAGAGCCTGATAACATGAATATGCCATCATGGAAAGTATTGGCTGAAGCCAAATTTTTGCATGACATGATGGTCATGTCACCTGGATCATATGGTTAATGATATTAGTAATCCATATGCTTGTGAATGGTATGCATAACATGAATGTCTCTTTTGTAGATGAGTAAAAATGCTTTACTTTTCGTTATCTCTCCCTGTAGTGGTCCATTTTGATATTTTCAATAAAATTATTGCACCACAAAGCAGAGATAGAGCAAATTTGAACTGAATAGTGCACAAAAGTCCTCAAGTGATTAAGCAACAGGAAATCACAGCCAGGTTAAATTAGATCAAGTGTGAAAATTCTTAGTGGTGTGATATCTGCCCTCTAAATGTTCTGCATTTTGGAAATTTTGGACATCAGATTGTTGCACTAAGTTTACTCAGACTGGATCATTAATATCTATATAAGATGATGATGATAATGTAACTATTTTTTAATAATTGGTACTATTGTTGTTATCATAGTAATTAAAAATATTATTATTTATTTGTTTATTACTTGATTAATACTAATTATGATTTTCACTCCAATTCATAAGTGTGACCATCTGTTTTGCAGGACACAGAGTTCTCACAGATTGCAGCCAGAACCCTTCAGCTTCACAGATTCAATTTACATCAGAGATTATGCCAGTAATACATGAGGTAAATAGCAAAGAATATTCCCATACCATCCTTACTCTTAATTTTGTCATATACGACTGATCTCATTTCCTTCCTTTTCTTGTTCTTAGATTATATGTATTTGGTAATTGTATATATGTTAACAGATACTGAATGTTCCTTCCTTGCCCAATTCAGGTGCTGTTAGTGGGTATGGGTAATAAGAACCTACGCCCGATTCTGCTTGCCAGGGTCGATGAGGACCTCATGATGTATGAAATTTTCCCCTTTTATGAGAATCTAGCTCCAGCCCAGTTGAAAATAAGGTAATGTATAAACTGTATAATTGGTTAGAAGTGAATTGAATGTATGAATGCTGAGGTGTATGTTTATATTTGAATGAAAGATGAGGTGATTGATTGGCCTAGCATGTGTTCAGAAGTGTTGGTTCTTGTAAGGAGCTGAACTGTAAAATGTGTTTCATATTTTTAAGATATTTCCTGTTAGGTTCTGGGTAAAAGATAATTTGAATTTTTTTCTTCCCATTACCAGAATGAGATTGATTGAGCACAACTTAATTCTAAGAGAAAGACGATCCAGTAAAAACAGGAAGAGAATGGAGGAGGAAGGTTCCTTTGACAGGAAAATTGACAGAGTTCTCAAATTCCGTCCCTTCAGCAACATCAGTGTCTACAGTGGAGTAAGTTCTTTTCTCGTATTGTGGAGTGTGAAAAAAGCATGCTGTGTACGTAATGGTACATTAAGTATTTTTGTAGATCTGTAATTTTAAAGTTTGGAAATATTGCTTCACAGAAAGAAACAGATATGAACCATGTAAAACATTTTTTCTACATTATTTAAAGATGATGACTAGTCTCATTTTTATTTTGCCCAAATACATTCTTTGATATAATTTGAGAATTCTCACCAGCAAATGATTTTATCTGGTAAATAGTTTTGACGGATATTTACTGGATGCCAAATAATCCAGCATTGGACAGACAGACAGAAAGATGGAAAGAGAAGGAATGGAAAAGTAAATTAATGGGTGAAAAGAAGAAAAAAGAAAGAAGGGGGTAAAGTTAGAGCACATGAAGAATGAATGAGAGAGAGGGAGAGAGACAATTGAGGATGGGGAATGTTGTAAAAGATGAGACTAATTACATGGAGTTCTGTAAAGTTATCAAATCTTCATGTATGTGTCCCAAAACTTCACAGGGAATTGTCAAAACTACTTTTACTTCTTCAATTATACCAAAGAGTAAGTTTTTACCTAGAAAATGAGAATCATTCTTTGTCCTGGCTAGCACCTTTAACCCATTGGATCCAGATGCTTCATTGTCATCTCGTGGCCCAAAATACAGGCATTATGCTTAATTGAGCGGACACTCTGGTGGGTGTGTGTTTGTAGTCTGGGCAGGCATGACACTCCTGTGCGGTGACAAGACTCTATGCCTCCCCTGTGCAATTTTATTTTCTTTTTTTCTATATAAGCCTTTTTTTCATTTTCATTTTTTTTTTTTTTATGAATATCATTTGATTTGCTTTATCCAGATGGTAGTAGATTATTTTTTCTTTCATAGACTCCATATCATCTCTCCAGGTAGTCCATAAAGAATTTTTAATATTCAATTTTCTGTAATACCTGCTGGTCTTGATAAGCAGGAATGGGATCCTGAGCATGTAATTAGTTTCCTCACTGGAGCCAGTGCTCTTCCAGTTATGGCTCATGGACAGTACATTCCACACTTGTTTATCGATTGGAATAATGCAAAAGCCCCTTCCTGAATGCCAAAGGAGTCTAATCATTCTCTAAGAGCTTTGTGCACTAGTGGTGAGTCATTCCTGTCACCACTGCCTTCAGCCAAGGTTCTCATCCCAACCCACAGCCAAATTTTTCCATGACAGCATTATCACATCACCCTCACCTCAAGCCAAATGTCATCCAGACTGTTTGGAGTTAAGATAACCTATTGATGATAGTTTATAGATTTTATTGAATTAAAAGCTAAACCAGCAGTTGTGTCTGAATTTCATGTGGTCCTTATCTGTTTTTCACTGATCATAATTTTTTTTTTCTTTTTTTAGGTATTTGTCTGCGGTCCATATCCTCACTGGCTCTTCATGACAGTGAGAGGAGAGATGAGATATCATCCAATGAGTGTGGACGGCTCTGTCAAGTGCTTTGCTCCCTTCAGAAATGTGAACTGTCAAAATGGCTTCCTTTACTTCAACCGGAAGGTAAGTGTGAATATGACAGATGTTTCTTTTGAGAATAATGTCCATGAAGTCCATGAAAAAAACATAAAACCAAACCAATATGATGATAATAAAACCAACAGATTAAGAAGGAAATCTATATTACAAAAATCATATTATATCTATGAATGGAAGAGGAAAAAAGAGAGAAAGCTAGAAAACAATCTTATTTGGCGTGGCCAGAAGATGAAAAAGATGGATCACACAAACTATTTTATAGTTGCACAGGTGAAATTGCAGCTGGAAAGGAAGATTATATTTGATTTATTGCAGGAATGAGTAATTTTTTGTTTTTTTTGTTTTATTGATATACTAAGTAGCTCATACATATTTTTATTACTACTGTTTGATGGAAAAGCAAGTTGAGGATGCTGTTGTGATGCTGTCAGACTGTCAAAGTAAACAACAAAATTTAAAATATTAGCTAATGCCATTCCATTTGAGATTAGAGTTTATTTTGCATTTATATTCTGTAAAATATTTTTTTTTTTTGTCCATAGTTTTTTTTTTATGTAGGTATTTTTGGGGAAATGGGATTTCAAGTTTTAAAATACTGAAG